CATTATGCCATTTGTCAGCATTGCAGTACATTTGACACATAACATAATGCAAATATTATAGAAAAGTTGAGGACTTTGTTTTCATCAACTCTATAGTAGAATTTGACCCAAAACAGGGTAAAATTATCTAATCTGATTTCCCACCGTGTACATTGTGTGCATGGAATTTATGTAAATACACTTTTTTTTGCGATTTCCTCCAAGTGCTTTGGTTTTTTCCTACACTATAATTGTAGATTATCTAACTTCCATGGAAGATTTCATGTAAACTGTCTCTGTAAGTCTGTTTTAGGGACATTAGATTGTAAACTCTTTTGAGGGCAAGGACTGATGGTAATTGTTATCATGTATTCTGTATTGCTGGATATAATAGCACTAGAGAAATTATTGAAATGATAGTTAGTATGAATGGTTGATATGACAGACATTCACAGTAGCACTTGGTGCATACTGAAATGGTAATGTAAAGGGGGTATATAAAGAGGAAGAACACTCCAGCTTTGTGCCCAGAGATCCATTACATGATCAAAATGACAGCAGGAAAACAGCTGGCAGAAATGCACATGGGATACATAGTCCAGGCAGTACAACTGGTGGTTTCCATTGACAAGAAGCCAGTTAGAAACAGTAACACAGATTACTAGGTCAAAGTTGTGTGGGGTGGACAGCCCTGTGTGTGGAGTGGACAGTCCTGCATTTTGTGAGGTTCTACATTAATATATGTTTTAACTACAGATACAACATATCTGCACTGCTATTTATAATACTAATTTCTGCTGACACAATAGATGCCAACCCCTGCTCGTCTCATCCTGTTATCTTCTTATAAATTTTCATAAGATCTGTTCTTTGTCATACGCACAGCAACACAAAGCTTTATGGTGTGTACGTTCTAATGTAAACAATTTAGCTGAGAACCGGCAGCATATTAATAATAATCCTATTCATGCTTGTGTACAATTATATGACTTTGGTTTCATCTACACCCACTAGAGAAATGTCTCCATCTAAGAGGATCACCCGCTTTAGTACAATATCCTCTTTATGTTATATGACTGTTCATTCTAATTGTAATATGGTTTCAGCCTGTTCATAGGGAAGATCTTTGTAGAAAACTTCACATAACACTCACAGACAATAGACATTACTTACATTCTTTAACATTGTTTTCTTCAAAGTAAAGAGCTTGCTATACAGTAATATCTACATAATTGGATTAATATCAGATTATATTTCTAACATCCACATGTGACTAATTCCAAATTATAGGTGTCAACTCCTGTCTCTTTTTTGATCTCAGCTATGAATCTATTATAATCTGGTACAGTGGTAACCCTTGTTGGAACGTCTAGAAAGTGGGGATTGAGTCCTACTAAGGTATTCTGTGCAGGGCATTTTAAAGTAAACGTACAGGTTCACCTTACCTTGTAAAATAGTCCCAGGTTCCCACTGCTTGCATCTCTAAATAATCTTTAAAGCATAACAGAATTGCCAAACCCCAGAGAAACCTATTATGCAAAATATCAGCCACAGTTTCTATGGTTCAACTCTAGTCTACCTCCTTGGAACCCTTTGCCATTTCATGGTGGCTGGTGAGGATGCCTTTTGCATTTGGAGACCAAGAGGAGGCCTACGTCAAAACTGTATCCTGTAGTGACATGGGGGTTGTCAGCCAGAACCACAGAACTTACAGACTGGCACCTGGCCATACCGGTTCTTGAAGTCTTTTGGGGGGCAATTTATCTTCATTACAAAGGCAGCTACACATGTATTTCTTCTTTGTACAAATATTAGCAGTTTTATTCAATGACAGAGTTGCTTTAAAGCTTTGTGAATTGAGCCCCCAGGTCTCTAAATATATTCCTATGATGGCATTAATATCTATACCAGCCTTTCTCAACCAGGGATTCGTGAAACCATAGTGGTCTCCTGGTGTTGCGAGGGGTTCCTTGCACAGTGAGCAATGGTGAATTGTTCTCTTGCCTACATTGCCCAACAATGCAAGGGAAATCCATGTGAATGGAAGCATGAAGACCAACAAAAGCACCAGGCAATCATCTGAAGAGTCCAAAAACTTTATTGGCTTCAGAAATGACAAGAAAAAGATACACACAACCAATCCACCTCAGGGGTCAGACATCTCCCTTCATCAGGACTACAAAGAGATATATTACATAAAACAACTAATAAAAATACTGTGTAGACAAATGAACAATGATGGTTAATTTTAAACATCATCATTGTGTGTGTTTAGCACGCCCCCCCCCCCCTTGGAGGACCCCTGTTTTCTAAAGAGCTGACAAAACTGAGCCATCATTTCCATATATTGCTACTATTTGAATAGAGAAAGTTTGTAGTCCAGGCCTCATCCCCATTCCCCCTTAAATACTGAACTATGCAAGGGAGCACTTATACTCGGGCCACTAATATTAACAAAACACCACAATTTTTACTGTCTGCATTTCTTTGCTGGTATTATGATTCATTTACTTTCAGGATATCACCAAACACATTGTTGTGCAGAGTAGGAGGTTGTAAAAAATGATCTGTCCAGGGTGTCAGAAATGCTAGTTACAGTATGACATTGTGATTATTCTTAAGGTGCCCATACACCTTACGACCATTGCAAGACTTTTGTCTTGCGATGGTCGTAAGCTTATTAAAAGCTCGTACGATCTGCCCATCTTGGACAGGCAGATCGTACTTGCGATCATGGAAATCTTCCGATCACTGCAAACGGGCAGTGTGTACATGCGCACACCAGCCCGTTCGGCAGTTGTCGAACAAGCAGGCCACTAACCCGAACAAGCAAGCCTGCTTGTTCGACGGAAGACGTGCGACCGTACAGTAGAAATGGTCGCACGCCTTCCATACACTTTGTGATTATCGTACGATCGCGGGATTTCCCGCGATTCTCGTACGATAATCGTACAGTGTATGGGCACCTTTATACTGTATATAAAACAAATGAAGACTAGTGTGAATGGGCCCTTGCGATGTAGGTGGTAATCAAATAATTTGCACTCAAACCCTATTCATCTAAGTCAGGGGTAGCCAAACTCCGGCCCTCCAGCTGTGGTGAAACTACAAATCATATGATGCATCTCTCTCTGGGAGTCATGTCTGGCTGTTAGAATCTTGCAATGACTCATGGGATTTGTAGTTCCACCACAGCTGGAGGGCCGCAGTTTGGCTACCCCTGATCTAATTAATATCAGCTGCTGTGCTACAAGTGTACCATGCCACCAAAAAACAATATATATCCAACAGTGCACTGCGTTTTCACTAGTCAATTTGCAAAAAACACATCAAGTGCTCCACTAATAAATACATTTCTAGAGTTACATAACTATTTATATCAATCATTGACATAACTGAGGCACAGTAAATCACACATTACATATTGGACATAATTATTTTTTTTACAGAGTCCATTCATTAATCCTCCTCTTATTCCCAATGTCCAGTGATATTCCACAATTATATGTGTCTTCCGTGCTCCTTTTAATTAACCACCAACGTGCCCGATATCCAAAGAATCTCTCCACACTCACCAGATGATGTTTACCACCAAAGTTATAGACTGTCACATAAACCTTCATATAATAACACTCCGCTCCTCCTCTCCTTCCTGGCTGTATATAACTCACTCCTTACCCTCTCCACTCTCCAAGGATCCTTATACATTCCTCCTCCTCAACTGGTTCATCATATTGCAAATTCTCATATGCAACAGTAACAGCAATCAGAACAAATGTTAGCAGCGGCTCATAGTGTAATATATTTGAAATCAGCTTTATTTTAAATACTGTAGATAAAAGACTCACATGTAGTAAAACCTATAGCACTTGAACTGCTGTATAAGCTCTCTCCAATGCCAATTACAATTTAGGGCCCACTCACACTAACCTGCCCGCTAAATGCTTAGTTTTAGTGGATGCGCTAGTGGGTGGGCGTTATGGTGCACTCTCTCTTTTTAAAACTTTTTTACTTTTTAAAACTTTATTTGGAGTGTACACTCTGTTTAGCAGGGTGGTGTACAGCGGTGCAGTGACCTACGGTGCGGTCCACTGCACTGTGAAAAAACGCAGCATGTCATGTCACACCTGTGGTGTGATGGGAACTGGACACACAGAAAACAATTGTTTTCTATGCATTCTGGCAATGACTGGAGTGGCACAGTGGCTTAGTGTTAGCACCTCAGCCTTCAGCGGTGGGGGTCCCCGGTTAGATACCTAGTCAGGAAACTAGCTGCAAGTTTTGCATGTTCTCCCTGTGCTTGCATGGGTTTCCTCCCACACTCCAAATGTATGCTGGAAGGTTAATTTTCTCCTGTCTAAATTGACCCTGCATGTATGTGAAATAGGGACATTAGATTGTAAGCTCATTGAGGGCAGGGACTGATGTGTATGTGCGCTGTGTAAATTGTCGGCGCTTTATAAATACTTGTAATAAATATAATAAATAAATGACTGAGAAACACCACCCACTGCCTATAGTGTGAATGGGCACTTGGTGATCATGCTGATGTACCCCAAACTCTAGGCATAGTTATTTTTAGCAGACCTGCAAAATGTATCAAGGGTTACTTCTAGGTAAAAAGGTTAAGTAAGGCTGATCTGTGCTAAAAATACTAATATTCCCAGCACTTGTGCATGCATTATTCACATGTGTACTATTGTACATGAACAGTCAGAGAGGAAGTATGCCATGACCCAGCTGTCATATGATATTACAAGGTTCATTCCCCATATGTGGGGTGTGGAGATGTATCTTTCAGCCAAAGAATACTATGCAAAGCTTTAACAGCCAGAAAGGAGTTTACTTCTACGCTCATGTCCCTTTTAATATATGATTGAATTCTTCAGAGATCAGTGATGATTCTTTGTAGAAAGCTGACATAATGTGGAATGTAGGCATTGTGTGATAACAGGCACAGCCCTGCCCACTGCTGTGACTCAGCCCCCCCCAGCTCCAGCCCAGTGTAGGCTGCACCCAGGCTGTGTTCTGGCTGGAGTTATCCCAAAAGAAGGGAGGATCAGACTGAAGTCATCCACAGATCTCATCTGTACAGTGTAATAACGGTGCAGACCCAGGCTACAGGCAGACACCATGAGGGAGATCGTGCACATCCAGGCTGGCCAATGTGGAAACCAGATCGGAACCAAGGTAAACAAAGACATTGTTACCACCTGTCACTTTCTTCTATAGCAGCACCCTGATCTACATTTATTTCAAAGATCAGGAAATCTGCTGTAGATGATTAGTTTGTATTACCACTGCTGAATTATACTCTTAAATCAGTGCTGAGGACATGGGGAAGCAGTAGATGGCTGTACAGAGATTCAGAAAACTTCAGATTTTTCCTTGATTGGGTGTGTCTGTCAGAACTGCTCTGCAATTCTGAGCCAAAAGTGTGTTTCCTGTTCCTGACATTAAAAAGTCCATACAAGGATTTCATTCTCATGTGTTTAGATAGCACAGATCCTGAATTCTAATGTATGATCACACTGGATGTCACTTATATCAGTGTATCCTGGTCTCTTCACAGTGCTGATTGGAACTCAGGGGTTTCCTTTTGTAGTTTTCCGTCCAGCGATTAGGATTTTATTCACAACTGGATACCTAAAACATGACTGAGCTGGCAGAATGCAGACAATGTGCTTAGCCCTGTCTTCATAAATCACATCCAATCCACCAAGCGTTGTCTATGAATTCTACAGGCAGGATAACTATTAAAATATGTGTGATGTTTATAAACTAAAATAATAATAGAGAAAAGCTAGAGAAAACAGGGAGCGCTGTCTTCATAAATCACATTCAATCCACCAAGCTTTGTCTATGAATTGTACAGACAGGATAACTATTAAAATATGTGTGGTGTTTATAAACTAAAATAATAATAGAGAAAAGCTAGAGAAAACATGGAGCGCTGTCTTCATAAATCACATCCAATCCACCACGCTTTGTCTATGAATCGGATAGATGTGACCAGGGACAGTGATCTCTTCCAAATGCATGTATTTGTATCACATACGATTAAATGCAGAGTTCAGATGTGGCTGCTGTCACCCATTTGTTAACTTGAATGGGTGACAGACAGCGGCCGCATGTAAACGGGAGAACTGGGATTCCTGCTTCAGTAATCCATAGGTTCCTGCCATAGGAATCCCAAATCGCATAGTGTGAATGTAGCCTTACAAACAGCAAAGCTATCTAAATATATGTGTGATGTCTATAAACACAAATAATAATAAATAAAACTGGAGAATACACAAATAGAGGCAGAGTTGTTGAATTAGATTCCTTGTTTAATCTGTGTATACTTCTGTGCAATGAAACACTTTGGTTTCATTGCACAGTTTGGTTTCTCAATGCTGTGGAAAAATGCAGTATGTCACTACACAACAGTGCACTGCATTGCTGTGCGGGGACCTAAATGGTGTGTGACTACTGATAAATTAAAAAAACAGAAAATGTAAACAGTGACAGCTCTGGCAGTATGTGCGGAAGTTCTGTAAACGTACAATCGCTATATGAGAATATTCACAATATCTGTATTGATATCTTCCCATTACTGTGTGTAGAAAAGTGTCAGAAAGTAGAGCTGTCTGTGTGTCCCACTTATTATTTGGAGGAAGAATCTGCTTGGTTTCTATGGTCTACATCAGGGGTAGGCAACATTGGCCCTCCAGCTGTTGTAGAACTACAACTCCCATGAGGCATTGCAACACTGACAACCTCAGGCATGACTCCCAGAGGCAGAGGTATGATAGGAATTGTAGGTTCACCACAACTGGAGTGCCGAGGTTGCCTACCCCTGGTCTACATGGTTCATCTTAAAAACATTCATCTATTCTGTCCTGTGTGCGTACTGGTTTACAAATGATATTTTAATTATTAGAGGATGTCCTCGTAGGCAGCTAGGCATTACCACCTGTCTGTGAGTGTCTGTAGACAGGTTTAAGTAAAAACTGGACTAAGAGAAATATGTAGACTGCCATTGCTTACTTCTTCCTCTGAAATGCTAATTCGCTGGCTGTCATGCCAATCCAGTGCCTACAATACTTTCTGGTTGCAGGATCATGAATAGAAGCACCACACTCCTTTACATGATCTCCCTTAGTAAGCTCTAAAGAAGGGGGTATTTGTATGAGCCCCCAAAATGTGTTGGCTATTTCTATACTGTCCCCTTAACCCCATACCGAATAAAGATGTATCTGAACTATTACCTGGAGGGTGGTGCTTCGATTCACAATCCTGCAATCCTGCTTATTCCACTTCTTTTCAGTACAATATGTTCTGAGTCACTTGAAACATGTTTAGTGTCCTGACATTACTGGCTGCATGCTTGTTTTGGCTCCTGGACCCAGGAAGCAATCTGTTACCGAAGTGTGTCTCTTCTAAAATGCAATTTGCATTATCCGAAGGTGACTGTCAATGGCGGTCAATACACTAAACTGCTAAAATGAGGGGACAAATAAAGATATATGTTATCGCTATTTCAATTTTTTTTGTACATTTGAAAACTTACATGAGAACGGTATATATACAGGCGAAACTCGAATAATTAGAATATCGTGCAAAAGTAATTGCAGTAAGTGCTGCAAAAGGGGCCCAAACCAAGTACTGAGTACATATGCATGCTTGTACTTTTCAGAGGTCCGATATTGTTCTATGTACAATCCTTGTTTTATTGATTGCATGTAATAATCTACTTTTCTGAGGTTGTGGATTTGGGGTTCTTGGGGTTTCCATGAGCTGTAAGCCATAATCATCACAATGATGACAAATCACGGCTTGAATTATCTTGCTTTGCATGTAATGAGTCTATCTCATATATTAGTTTCACCTTTTAAGTTGCATTAGTGAAATAAATGAACTTTGCACGATATTCTAATTATTCGAGTTTCCCCTGTGTATATATATATATATATATCTCCAGTACTCAGGATGTAAAGATTTCAGTCATGTCTTGGTCTCAGAGCTGCGGTCTGGGCAGGCAAGTGTCTCTAGTTTCATCCTCTTGGAATTCTGAAAAGCCCCCACAATCTCCCCATCCGGCAGCAGTCAGAACAGGGAGTGTCCTGGGTGCTTTTGCTATGCCAGGAATGCTACCAGCTGCTGTGCACCCACCTCCCAGTAACTGCCATGCTATGGCACAGCCGTCACATTTGTCAGTGCTGCAAAATCTCACATTCCTCCGATGACTGAAGCAAGCCATAAAAATACCATCTGACACATCTCAGTCACTTGTTTCGATTTTGATTAATAAGTATTGTGAGCTATGGCCGAATTCTTAACTGTAACGAAAGGAACAAAACAAGCAGACACAAGCAACTGCTTGTGTTATCTTCCTAATTACTGGAAATGAAAGAAATAACATCAGATGTCATCTTGGAGCTCCAAGATAGAAAAAAAGTAGTCGAACGGTTAATGGAAAGGTACAAATCCTGATTATTTCTATAAATGATCCATTATTTCCTATCCATTATTATAAATGGATAGAAAAACGTATTGTTGTATACAGTATATGTGTGTGTGATCATGTACTAGTATTGTGCACTATAACAGGCGTGTGGTAACCGTGGTGGGAAAGTCTACACGTGCCTGGTTATATGTGCCCTTACGTGCAGCCTGGGCTGTTTTGGCAGCATCTAGAACAGGGGTAGGTAAACTCTGGCCCCCCAGCTGTGGTGCAACTACACATCCCATGAGGCCTTACAAGTAGGGTTGCCACTTTTTCTTCAAGTAAAACCCGAACACTCTAGCAATTTTTGTTGTTGGTGGATATAGAGAAGAGGCAGCCAGGAGAAAGAGCAAGTAGTGAAAGCTGAGAGAGGGAGTAAGGAGACCGTCTATAGAGGACTACAGCAATACATTATACAGCAATACATTATACAGCAATACATTATACAGCAATACATTATACAGCAATACATTATACAGCAATACATTATACAGCAGTACAAAATAATATGGAGCTACATACTCTGTGTTCTTCTGGGTTGGCACCCTGATGTCTGCAGGTGGCCTGTGCGGGCTCTCAGGAGGATGTGCGGGCTCTCAGATGTGCTGTGCGCCTCTCAGGTGGGCTGTGCACCTCTCAGGTGGGCTATGCAACTATCCGATGGGCTGTGTGCCTCTCAGGTGGGCTAAGTGACTCTCAGGCAGGCGGTGCGACTCTCAGGTGGGCTGTGCGACTCTCAGGTGGGCTGTGTGCCTCTCAGATGGGCTGTGTGCCTCTCAGGTGGGCTGTTTGCCTCTCAGGTGGGCTGTGTGCCTCTCAGGTGGGCAGTG